CTTCTTCTTGGGGGTCTTCTCCTTCTTGGTCTTCTTGGAGGGCTTGACCTCTTCTTCTTCTTGTTCCGCCTCCTCGTCGGCCTCCTTGGCTTTCCGCTTGCTGCGCTTCTTCTTCTGCTCCTTCTTGGCTGAGTCCTCGCTGCTGGGCAGCTGTGTGGCCTCCTCGCTGGCCGCCTCCTCGGCCTCCTGGTGCTGCTCGTGGGCCTGGCTCTCGCGAGCCGGCTTGCTCGCCTCGAGGCCCGGCACATGACGCAGCGGGCCGGTGCGTGGCGCCAGCATCGAACCGAAGATGGTGATGATTCCTCGCGACGTGTTCACCCTGCCCGTGTCAAACATCAACACCGCACACACGACACGCACCGACCGCACACGACACACATCGTGAGACGCAAGCGCTTGGGGCCTGGGAGAGCGGGCCGGGCGTACGCAGTGGTCTGGAAAGCGGCAAAACGGCCGGGCGAGAGCTCGCGGGAGGGGTCGGTGGTGGATCGCCAGCACTCAACGGCAGTCACCGAGGCGGCGCTGGCCTCGTCATCGTCCTCGTCTTCGTTTTCGTCCTCGTCTTCATCTTCGTTCTTTTCCTTGGCGGCCGTCGTCGTGGTGGTGGTCACCGCCGCAAAGTCGGCCGGCACGGCGTCACGGCTCACCGAAGCGTTGAACGCGCCCGCCACCAGCAGGCCCACGTGGTCCGAGCCCACCTTGTTCACCTCACCCACTGCAACACACAATGACACACCGCACGACACACACACGACGAGGTCAGCAAGGTGGTCGGGTAGAAGGCCCACCAAAAGAAGAACGAGGAGGTACCGAGGGTGAGGCCGGGCGAGGGGGCGAAGAAGAGGGCGTGGAGGCGCACGCGGCAGTGGAGCTCGGGCTGCTCGTACATGATACGGCCGCACGACCCCTCCAATGCCACGCCCCAGTAGGCCACCAGCACGCCGCCGGCGCCTCCCTCTCCCAACGCTACATACCTGGCACGATAAATAAGTATATTTATTATAAAGTATTTATCGCTCAATTAGTAGCTTGAATTTGTTTTATTAATTTTATTCAAACTAATTGAGCGATAAATAGAAATCACTGCGGGGAGGCGTACTTCATGAGGCTCTGATTGAGGCGGTTGCACACGGCGGCATTGATGTCGCGCAGGCCGCTGGGCGGCAGTGCGAGAGTGAGCAGGACCTCGACCTCTTTGAAACACGACCCGTCTGCGCCCCTTCGCTCCGTGCCGGCCTTCGTCTTCGTCGCCATCTTTTCAATTGTGATCGATCCTCTTCCGATCCGGAGAAGAAAAACGAGGGAACGGACATTGTGTGCAGAAAATTGATAAAGAAATCATTATTTCTCGCATTTTTGTGGCGAAAAAGAGGATCGAGAGATGGGCTGTGCAATGGATTGGGATGCATTTGAGTGTTGGCTTATTGACCAACATCTTTTACACCATCTTCTTGGTTGAGGCCTTCTGGGATTCGACGATCTTCTTGGCATCCTCCACGCCCTGACCGCCGGTGCGCGCTGTCTCGTTCTCGATGGAGTGCTGGGGGCGCATGTACATGTACATCCACCAGAGCATGAGGCCCACGCCCACGACGGCACCGCCGGTGGCCATCGAGAACTCGACGGGGTACTTCCTCACCTCGGGCGCCATGGCCTTGTCCTCCATGTCGTGGGCCGCCTTCTTGATCTTCTCGCCCATCCCGCTCGCGGCATCGCTCGCTCGGTTCAGGGCATCGTCAGCGCCAGCCGCGTGGGCCGCACTCTTGAACGCGTTCTTGGCCTGGTCGGTCTTCTCGCTCACAGCCTCCTGCAAAAATGCAAAGAACAGCGGTGAGTCAACGTGTGTGTGCGTGTCGTGCGTGTCGTGCGTCGTTTGCCTAAACAAAAAGTAGTACCTTGAGGGGGTTCAGGGCGGGGTCATTGATGCCAGCGTTCTCTACGCGGCCCCGACGAGACTCGAGGGGGCCGAGGGCGGGCACCGAGGCGCGGTATGTGGTGTAGAGGGCGCGGCTTGTGAGGGTGGTGGAGGTGGGCAAGGCGCGGGCAACGGGAACTCGGCTGAAGGCGCGCATGTTTGATGCTATGAAGCGTGTGATGTGGTAGTGGCAGTGGCGACTGCTTGGCTTGGGGATGTGTGGTGGTGCGAATCGGACGGAATGGGTTTGTGAGAATGGGGATGATGGCGCAGAGTATTTATGGGGCGGACAGCACAACACGACACGGTGACCAACCATCACCGCAGTGTGGGCAGCGCGGAGGGTTCAACCAAAGGGACACCAGGCAGGATTCCAGAGGAAGGTGGCCGAATGCAATGCCTGGAGCGCGTGGCAGGATTCCCGCTGACGTGATTTTCTTCGTTTTTCTTTTCTTTCTTTTCAAGGATAGTGTGTCGACAAAGGCGAGGAAGGAGGGAAGGAAGAAGCAGAAGGGGGGAGGCAACGAGTTGCGGCACCGCCGTAGCATGACGTTCGAGAAGCAACTACAGTTTCACGCCGTAACCACATGGAGGCGCAAGTACATTGCTTACGGCGAGGTGAAAAAGATTCTCAAGCGCATTGAGCAGCTGCTCCGCGATGAGAGGGTGGGCCAAACGGCGGCAGGCGGGCTCGAAGAAGATGGGGCGACCTCTGACGAAGAGGGGTACGTGGGGCACCACCACCACCACCACCATGAAGGCGAGGGCCTGCTGGTCGGGAAACACCGCGCGGCAGAGGTGGAGGAAGCCCTGGAGGAGCTCGAGCTCACCTTCTTCCGCCGCCTGCGGGACGAACAAGCCAAGGTCGATGGCTTCTACCACCAGCAGCTCCAGTACCTCCTCACTCGCTCCGAACGTCTCAACGACCAGCTACGCAGCTTCGAAGCCGCCTCGGAGGTGCGCTGCGTCATCTTTTTTTTTGTTCTATTGTTCTTTTGTGCTCGTGTAGAGGCTCGGGCCTCACTCATGGCGTGATGGACTACGTTGGCGGTGGTGGCGCTCCTGTTTGGTGCTCATCATCATCGTCATCAACAATAGGGCCGCCTGGCGGGATCGCAGTTGTCTCCGGCGGACTTGCACAAGGCGTCGAAGAGGCTGGAGAAGGCCGTGGTCGACTTCTACCGCCACCTCATGCTACTCGACAACTATGCCCTTTTCAACTTCACCGCCTTCCAAAAGGTTCTCTTGCTCTAGCCCTATCTCTCTGTCATGCCCCTGCAAGGCTCGTTCCACGAGTTGAGTGCCGATCTTCCGCTTACCGTGTGCGTGTGCGTGTGCGTGTGCGTGTGCGTGTGCAAACGTGCTTGGTACTGGCGCCTTGCAGCTCCTGATGAAGCACGACCGTATCACGCAGCTATCCAGCGCCGAGTACCTCGAGCTCATCGAGCACACATCTTTCGTCGCACGCACCACGCTCACCAGCCTCATCCACGACACCGAGGAGAAGTTCCGGTGCGTGCGCCTTCGATCGCACTACACCTTCTTCACCAAGAAGTGTCTGTCTCTGATCTCCTTGGGGCGCACGACCACAGGGACATGTTCGCCAATGGGAGCCTTGACAAAGCCAAGGCAAAGCTGTTGGCCCGACAGCACGACTACTTCGACTGGAAGGTCCTCCAGCTCGGCTTTGTACGCACCCCGAAGCTCCGCTTTTCTTTTCTCTTCATTTTCTTTTGTTCCTTTATTTAGTTTCGATCAGATCATCATCGTTTCGGTTGTCCCAACCCCCTCCAATTCCAAATCGGTGACCATGCCTGTTTCACAACGGCGCAATAGCAAGGATCCACCCTCCGCCACCACATCTTCCTTGCGTATAGATCGATTATGGTTCCAATGTTTAAATGGAGCACAAGAAGAGGTACATGCAATCACGTTCACAATGGATGCACGAGGAACTCCCAAATTCGCGTTCGCCTCGAAAAGAAATGACCAGAAGAAGTAGAATCTTCATGAAGATCTTGCTGTTTCAACTTTCATCACCTGCTACTTCGATAATGCTTATTCTCTGTCTCCCTACTTGCAGGTGGCTGGAGGGGCGGCATGCATCCTGCTGGCGCTGGTGCTCCTGCTGCTGCAAGGCCAGGTGCAGGAGGTGACCGGTCCGGTCGGGTGGAGCAAGGTGCTGCCCGTGTACCGCCTCAGCGCCATGCCCATCCTCGGTATCTGGTTGTGGGGAGTCAACGTGCTCATCTGGCACCGCACCCGGGTCAACCATGTCTACATATTCGACCTCAGCCCCACCTCCGCCCTCAGCCACATCCACCTCTTCAGGGTACTGCCACACAACACACAACACATAACACACACACACATTGTCATATGGATGTGCTGGCTAACGCGTGGACGGACTAATAATGGATCACTGCAGTTTGCCGGTTTTCTGAGCGTGCTCTGGGGCACCTCCTTCTTCCTCTACGCCGGCACCGCCGCAGGGCACTTCAACGCTGGTCCAGCTGAGGTGCGTGCTCTCTTGCACGATCCCCTCTCCTACTTCTTGGCGAATTCTTCGGCGTACTGACCGCTTTAGCTCTTTCGTTGAGATCAGATCTTCCCGTTGGCGCTGACGTGCACGCTCATATTGCTCATCGTCTGCCCCTTCAACATCCTCCATCGATCTTCCCGCGTGTTCTTCCTCCAAGTGCTCGTGTCCGTGGTACCGTGCCGTCCGATCATCTTACACTCACTGCAGCGCGTAATGTCATACGCATGCTAGACGGGACACTATGGCACTCACAAGCCACACGTACGACACCACACACACACACACACGTACACACACACACACACACACACACACACACACACACACACACACACACACTAGGTGCTGGCGCCCTTCGGCAAACTGCGCTTCGTGGACGGCTACCTCGGCGATCTGCTCACGTCCATGGTCCACCCCACCCGCGGCCTCCCTCCAATGCGCTGTCCCATCTCACTCTCGGCGCTTCGTTCGGTGGTCCTGACAACAGGTCAAAACGCTGGGCGATGCGGAGTACACGGTGTGTTACTACACCACCGGGGACTGGCTGGAGAACACCGGCCGCTGCCAGATCGCGAACAGGTACCCCTACCGCTACCCCTTTTGGCGCTGCGTGCCTGCTGCTCTCTTGCCGCCTCATTCCCGCATAGGAGGGGGGACTGCTCACCCCTCGCAATTTTTCCGGCCATCAACACAGGTACGGCGCTGCCGCGATGGCTTGCCTGCCGCTGTTCTGGCGCATGATGCAATGTCTCGGCCGTTACTCCGCCACCAAGCACGTCGAGGTGCGCACACACACATTTCATCCCGCCGCTGCCAACAACATCACTTCTCTTGACGCATTATACGACACCTTCGCGCGCGCGCACACACGAACACGCACTCGCACACACGACACACACCTTTGTGGTCTGGTCTGATCGTCGTCATGAATCCCATCTTGTGCGCAGCATTTGGGAAACTCGACCAAGTACCTGGTGGCCCTCTCTGTGGTGCTCCTCTCGCAACTCTACGGCGACCTCTCCTCTGCCGGTACCGCCCGCGACACGCACCACCGCACACGCACACGCGCACTGCAATCGTAATGGGTGGGTTTGTGTTTTATTTGCTATTGATCAATGCCTTGCAACGTGAATCGGCATAGGCGAGTGGTCGGCGATTCGGGTGCTGTGGTGTATCGCCTTCATCGTGTCAACGCTCTACTCGTACCTTTGGGACATCTTCATGGATTGGGGCCTGGGCCGATGGCACTCGCAGAACTTCCCCCTCCGAGACGAACTCTTCTATTCCAACCGGTACTGCCCAACCATGCGCCTTGCTGGGAGACGCACGACGTGCCCCCTGACACACACACACACCACACACACCACACACACCACACAAACAGGAAGTGGTTCTACTACTATTGCATTGTGAGCAATTTCGTGTTCCGTTTCTTCTGGACCATCACACTGAGCGGCACCCCCATCCACACCGGCATCGACTCCACCACAATGGGTTGGATCGCCGCCACTGTCGAGGTCGTGCGGTACGTTACGCTACTGCCCAAGAGAAAAAACGTTTCCAGCAATAACTCACACAACATGACCAATGATACGGCAGACGATTTACGTGGTCATTGCTGCGCGTGGAGAATGAGTTCCAGAGCAAGGCTGGCGATGTGAGCGTCTACCGCGATACGGACTTCATCCCGCTGCCCTTCCAGGTCAACCAGGTCGAGGTCTCTGATGCTGAGCATGGCGCATGGCGGCATACGGATGACGACAATGACGAACATGATGGCCAGGACGAAGAGAGGCCACACATGCAGCCCCCACCACGGGGTGGCATGCTGGTCAATGGGAAGGGCAAGAACACCACTGCCTCCACTGGCACCACCACTGTGGGCAGTCCACTCTCATCCTATGATGATGATGGTGACCTGCACATGCTTTACTCCATCAATGCAACAACACACCAGTAACATCATGCAAGTGTTCTTGGCAAACACAACAGATTGTAGGAATCACCAGCATCCTGTTTCTGCTATGGTTTGCCTCCCCAACTGGCTAAACTCCAAGCTCAATTCTTATCCCCACTGTATGTGCAAGGTCTTCTAGCCACATCTCCACCCCATAAACAACTGGGGTGACCCAACTCTGGTTAGTGGCCATATGGCAAACACACCAGTTGTGCTGCCACCTCCACCTCCTCCTACTCCACACTGCTCTTCCTCTTCTGGCTCCTTGTGGGCTTGTTGCAGAAGAAGGAGAATGGGGCTAAGGAAGTTCATAAATGCAAAACCACAGCAGTAACATCATGCAAGTGTTCTTAGCAACTGCAACAGTTGTTGGAATCACCAGCATCACACCATAGTTTGCCTCTACAACTTGTTACATGCTCTAATCTCATGGAATCTAAGGTCTGCTAGCATCATCTCACCAAAAATAACCACAAATGTAACTGGTACAACACACATAGCAATAATTTTGGACAAGTGTGAAAGAAATTTAAAAGAAATTATTTTTCTGTCGACCATAAAAAAAAAAGTCCCCCTGCGGGGGGGCACTATGTGGGGAAAAGGTGTGGAGGTTGTGATGAAATGGCATCAAGGTGCAGAAAAAGGTGTGTGGAAAGGTGTGCAGAAAGGTGCAACAGAAAGGTGTGGAGGTGTGATAAAAACATCCAGAGGTGGAAAAAAAGGTGCAGGAATGTGACCAAAAGGTGTGCAGGGGGTGGCATGATATGGCATCAAGGTGCAGAAAAAGGTGTGTGGAAAGGTGTGCAGAATGACACCTGTTTGTTTTGTTTTGATGCAGTGACATACAGACCTGTTCAGGAAAGGTGGAACTCAGCACCTTCATTGATGGCAAGGAGGAGCTTGTCCTTAAGCACTGACTTGGTGGAGTAGTCAGGCAGCTTGAGGTAGTTAAAGCAGGTCATCACTGATGGCAGGAACCTGGTGGCAGCATTGGGAGAATAGGACCAGTGAATGAGATCAAACAGGAATTGAAAGCAGAGAGAAGAAGAGAGGTCGTACTCATCCGAGTGGGAGCGGTCTGTGGCTTCCTTGCGCACAATTGTGAGCTTGGGCACAAGGTCCTTCCATCCTGGGTTGGTTAAAAAAAAAGTAAGTCAAGTTACCCTCTACAAACAAGCACAGATGGTATTTGCAGGAGATGGTACCGCCGATGGGGAGTCGCGGGCTACCGGTAACCCAGAGGAGGAACTTGCGTCGCTCCTCGGGGCTGAGCTCAGTGAGGACCTCCAGTAGGTACTTGACCGCGCGGCTGTTCTCGTGGTACCCGTGGTCCGTCTTCGTGTGCTCCATCAGCACTGCGCACCCCAGAAAGCGTAAGCCGCCACCGTCAAGATGCCCACGCCAAGCCAACCAGGCCCAAGAGAACCAGTTCGTACCATGAGGCAACCAGTTCTCCGAGTCATCCTGAAGACCGCAGATAAGCGCCTTGAGCTCGTGCAGGGAGAAGATACGCAGGTTCGCCAGAGAGAACACCTGCAACCGACCGCGTCAATCATCATCATCATCATCATCATCATCATCATCATCATCATCATCATCAGAAAAGCAGCTGAGAAGACGGCCCGTACTTCTTCAAAGCCCGAGCGGAAAGCATCGAGCTGCAGGCGGACGCCGTCCTCGAGGAGGGCCTTGACGGTGAGGGCCACGTACTCCTCGACGTTGTCGATGGTGAGGTCGATGTCCGCGCCGCGGGGCTTGAGCTCCCAGTCGGCGAAGCCGGGCAGGGAGAAGTCCAGGTAGAGGTCCTCCACCTTGCGCCCCTCAAGACGCAGGCCCGCGATCTTTTCCTCGCGCTCGGCCATCGTCTGTGGCGGCCACCCGAATTTAAAAAAGAATCACGAAAAAGAAAAGATTAAGGGAGAGCAGGCGTACGAGGTGGCTGTCGCGTTGGATTTGGTGCTTCTCGCGGCTCAGCTGCAGCAGAGGGCGGAGAGACTTCTCGTACGCGGGGAAGAGCGACCGGAGGTCCTCCCAACTCAGCTTGTCGCTCATCATTACCTGCGGTTGATGCGATGAGGCCCCCTCTCAACTTTCCCACGACACACACGACACACACGGCACACACGACACACACGACACACACGACAAAGTACAGTACCTTGAAGAGGGAGTCAGAGAGAGGGAAATCGAGCTGCCAGCCGTCGAGGATGGCCTTCCCGACGAATCGGCCCACGAACTTGAACAGCTTCTCCACCTCGGCCTTCCGCTCCTCGGGTGCGTTCGGGCTGCAAATCATCGTTAGTGAGTCCATCCACTCAATAATACTGGGGTGTGCGTGTGCGGTGCGTGCGTGTGCGGTGCGTGCGTGTGCGGTGCGTGAGTGGTGTGAGCCATACCTGAGCAGAGAGGGGAAGAGGCCGGCAGGGTGGAACGCGTATTGCTCCTCGGCGGCGGCGGCGGCGTCGCTGGCGTCCTTGACCGCGGCGTCCTTGGCGCCCTCCACATGCATGGGGGCGACGTGCGTCGTCGAGGCGTCCTGGTCGAGCCACAGGCCGTGCTTCCTCTTCTGCAGCTCGTGCGACACCATCGTGTAGAACTCCAGCGTGGGACCCTGGCCGGCGTTGCCAAGAAGTATATATAATATATATCAGCATTTACGAACATAACAAACACGTTTTTCCAATGGGGGAGCAGACGTACGGCGCCAACGCCCACTTCGTTGAAGTAGCCGACTTCGAGCACGGCCTTGTGTCGCGCGTAGAGCTCCATCACCTTCTGGGCCGCAGGCAGGATGTGCTGACGCGATATGGCCACCTGGAGCAGCAGCGGCCAGCAGCAGCAGGACACGCAGAGATCAGGTCAGTCCCGTGCGGTCGTGGGCGCGCGGCAACAAGTGAAAAGTGTGTGTGTGAGAGAGAGAGGGTACCTTGTTGTGGTGAAGTCGGGGCACTTGGAGGGGCTGGCCGTGAATGGTGATCTTCAAGTTCTTGAGCGCACGCGCAACGCCGAACGACGTCGAGTTGAGATAAAGGCGCCTGGTCTCGAACGGGAACAGGAACGAAAACTCTGCTCGATTCCCCCAATTGATTGATGAGCACACACTGCATTTAGCCCCACGTGTGTGCGTTTGCGTTTGCGTTTGCGTTGGTGAAAGTTTGGTGGAGATGGTAGTACCGGAGGCGAGCTCCTTGCACCAGCGCGGGTAGGCGTGGCTGCAGACGGTAATGGGGTCCTGCATCTGGCGCGTGAGCTTCCCCGTGAGCTTGGAGCTGATGAATTCGCTCGGGTTGATCCGGCAATTGGGACCCTCCGTAGAATCAGCGCGTGCCTGTGTGCGTGTGCGTGTGCGGTAGTGTGAATAGGTTAGGTTCTCTTCAGGGAGTCGGGTGGAGTCCGTTGGGGAACCACGTACGGTGACGCTGGTGAAGAGCGAATTCCAGAGTCGGTTGATGGCGTCGAGCACGCGGAGGAGGTTGAGGATATCGAGCGTCGTGGCCGACGCACCCTCCTCGCGCAGCCACTCCGGCGCAGCCAGCGCCAGGTACCGCTCCAGCGCAGGCCGGCCGAGCGCTGTATGAACCCCCCACGTCAGCAATTCACGCTAAAAGAAAGAAAGAAAGCAAGAAAGAGAAAGAAAGAAAGAAAAAAGAAGAGTGTTTACCTGTGAGGGTGGTGCTGCTGGTGACGGATTCGTCCGACGAAGGCGTCGTGGAGGTCGAGGTCGAAGTCGAGGTTGAAGTCGAAGTGGAGGTGGAGGTCGCCTCGCTCATTTCCTCATTTCCTGCGGCCTCATCATCGGCGGACGGCGCCGCGGGGTGTAGCGGAGTCAGGGAGAACGTCAGGAGGTGCTCCTGGCTCCACAAGTGGTGCACGGGCAGCTGATCGGCCTCGCCTGCGACGATCGAGGCAACAGGAAACCATTAGTCACCACCAGCGCCTGTGTTGCAACAACAACAGCCTGGCCTCACGGCACGCACAGGGAGTAGACGTACCCTGCGGCGGCTTGGGCACGATCTGGAAGATGGTCTTGTCGAGATCGAGCCGGGTGCCGTCCAGGAAGATGTCCAGCCTGTGTGTCGCCTTGGTCGGGGGCGCCTTCTTCGCCTCCGCCTGCTTTTCGGTGCTACTTACATTCGCAGGCTGCTGCGCGGATTGGCCTGCACGCAAGAACACGACACGACACACTTTCAGTTTTGGCCTACCTACACCCCACACTACGCAGCGTCCACGCACCCTCGCCCGGCTGAGTAGTAGGCGCCTGCTCCTCGGCTGCTCCCGTGGTAGTTGGCTTGGCCTCTTCCTCCTCCTCCTCCATGTGGTCGGTCTCCTCTTCTTCCTTTTTCTTGCCGGAAGCTTCAGCCGCCTCGGCCTCTTGGCGCTTTAGCTCTTCTTCTTCTTCT